GAAAACAATATTACATGTATTAACAAGGAAATTAAGAAGAGATTAAATTCAAGAAGTTCTTCCTACCATTAAGTTTGGAATATTTTGTCTTCCTCCTATCCACAAAACTAAACATTAACATAAACAAATCTATATTATGTTTTACTCCACAGGTGATGATGAAGAGGACAAAGTTTTGGAATCAGTTGCTGCATCCCTAAAGAATATGGAGGCGGAAATGTGTTACGAGTCTCATATCCTTGGAAGTGGATACATCTGACAAGTAAGAACTTCGTTTATGCTCATGTATATACTTTTTTCATATAATACAAGAATAGGGGTACTATGAGGGTGCAATGGGCAATTTTTATGTCCCTTTGATTTTCTGGTACGTTTTAAAGTATTAATTATTATTTAATAAATTAACATGTTTAGGTGCATTAATAATAATTAAATTTCTAGGCTATTGTTGGTACTGCTCAATGTGAGATGCATAGGATACTGGTTTTCAGACAGCCCACTGCCATTTTACTGCTTCATGAATCAGAAAAATTTCAGATCCGTCTGTACAGACCAACAAACTATATGAATATTGATATCAGACGGGACCATTGTCCATTTCCTGCATTCTGTGGTCTCAATACAGTCATGTATCAAATAGGACTTTTTGGGTACTCACCATGCATGGTGTGATTAGGATGGCAGACTTAACTTTGAATGCTGCAGATGTGATATCCTCAAAATGCAGCTGCAAGGGGGAGCTAGATGAGCACATTGGGTCTGAGATATCATCTGCTGTACCCTGAAACACAGATCTTGTAGTTCGGAAACGATCAATTCACAATTTTAAACATTTATGTTTTATGATTAAATTAATTAAAGCAAATTTTAACTGACTATGCCTCCCCACAAGCTGGCAAAATCTGTAACTGTTAAATTTTATGTTAATGTGACAAGAACTGACTCCAGTTTCCAACCCAGAGCTGTCTACATTTGCTTATATGCCTGTTTATTATTACCCAATGCCAATCTTACGTACTAAGTTATTCAACCAGTTAATTGGCCTTGAGCAAAAAATTTCACCTGCGAGGTTACAATCAACTTCCGCAAGAAAACCAGACAGACAGGGCCAATTACTTTGCCACACGCTTTGTATAATGTCAAAGGTATCAGATCAGTGATCGCGAATTGCATCATTCAGGCTGATGAAACACAGTGGATCTGTTGTTTCTACCACTGTACAGAGATGAGGTGGAGCCTTGTCATTCCAGTTCCCTAGCTAATTGACTAGTTGGCTGGCTGACTGACTGACAGACAGACAGACAGACAGACAGACAGAGTAGCTGACTGACAACAGGAGGGAACTAGCTAGCCGACTACTGGACTGCAGTATGTAATTTGCTGACAGTCTGGCTGACTAATTGACCACAGTAACTGACTGGCTAATTGACTGCAGTAACTGATTTGCTTTCTGGGATTGGCTGTGCCAACAGCCCAGCCCCGAATAAAAGAAATATTTATTTTAGGCTTAAACATTGTTCGATTTCACAATGCGATGAAAAAGTATTGTACACACATTCAAAGCTGTGACTCCACAAGTATCACAGCCCACCTTTGGACATGATCCTGATTCAGCTTCATTGAGCTGTTATCATGTCACCAGAGCTTTCTTAATGTTATCTTTCCATATTCTAAACCTTCGTGCTGGCCGTTTTCCAGATTTTCAAAAATCAAAATTGTTTTCGAATTTCGTGTTTCCCCATTCAAATTGCATGCGCATCTCTACGTAGCATCATTAACTGCATTAACCTATCAGTAACTTTGTATGTAACCTGCACGAATCACAAATGTCGTCCGTTTTATACCACACATCCCCCTTTCATCTTAATTATTTTGTTGACCTGTTTTCACTTGATAAAAAGTGTGCACGAATTCGTGCCAGAAATTACGTCGGAGCCGCAACATGTGATGTTCTTAGTTGTTGTCAAGTTTGGAAAAAAACATGTTATTAACTTTGCTCATAATTTGCATGGATCTGCTGATCATTATTTAAATATTTTTCCGATACCAAAATACATTTTTTGTTTCTTTGTTTTGTCAAGTAAAGACTTGTGAAAACTCAACACGTGAGGATTATATCAACTTAAGGTTCTTCACGAATATCTGTCCGAACGTGCGGACTTCTTATGAGTGAGCAAAACTAGTTTTGTTCAGTGGAAATTATAAACAAAGTTCTTTTAGTCATACAAGGAAAATAATAAATTTTTTAAGGCTGGTATAACAGTTTGGAATTCGCTGGGGTTAAGTTATCCTGACTTGATCTGCCCCGTGACATCAGAGGCCTTGGCGATGGTCTCATGCCTCACACAGTCTTGCAGCATGTCTTATTTATTGTTTAGAAAACTCTTGCTAGAAGAGTCGAAGGATCAATTTTGTCTATAGCACCAATAAAAAACTGTTGAACTGGTGGTGCAAGACTTTCAATGGACTGAACCTTCGTCCATGTAGTTTTACAAATTGTCTTAATTGGAGTTTGGAAAAACTGTGATAAACGAAGTCAAGGATTAAATAAAGTTGTATCACCTATAAGAAAGTGTTGAGTGCAGACCTTGCGAGGGTATTGTTCTTCGTCCAAGGAGTGGTACCCCTGTCTCAACACGGTTTTGAGAAATATCAACAGCGAAAAAGCCAAGACCCAAATCGGCCATGACATCTAGAAGAATACTTGGTCTGTTTTTTGTTTCATTGGTCCTTTTAAAAATATATCTGAGGACTCAGAAGAATGTGAAAAGAAGCGGTCGCGAACTATTACTATCCCAGAATTTTGTCTTGAGGAAGGAAAAGAGCATAAGAAATCCCATCTTTGTGCCGAGATGCGAACACGGACACACACAGTGAGTGGGGACTGTCTTATACTCACATTTTGTACAATGGCGCTATTTTCAATCCGTTCCGCCCCCTCAATTTTATTGGAGCAGCTGCCATTCAGAGGGCTCTGGAAACAAAACACGGGCTTATTGGCGTTCGTTTGTTTTTCTCTCCCATTGCTGGAACTACAACACATCGTTCTCACTAGTAAGAATTATGTATTCAGTAATTAAATTGTGCTGAAAATTCATAATACATTCATTTAGGAATCATGAAGAAAATGATTATTATAAAAGAGCTAGTGTATAATAATACATAGTTATGATATGGAAGGAAAAATATAATGACGTGATAAGTTATTTATGAACATAAAAAGTAATTTATATCGATAACTGAAGTTATTTTAATTACAGAAAGGGACGCAGAAGAGGTTCGAACTCGAATTACCCGTTCTGCGGATGGGGCCACTATGACAGTGGAAATTGTATTACACAGTTACGATCACCGGGTTTCTGGACTTTGTCCACCGTCTAGTATTCTGAACAGAATTCTATTAGCACACAGCCAGACCCCTTTAGAACTTGAGTGTGTTGTATTAGTCTGGTGAAAGTTTTACCAGCACGATGTTCATATTCAAAACCGAAACAAGCAAACATAGCTATCCATATGTACTGTGCTAGCGTGAGTCCTTATCTGTGTAAAAACCCATAGTAAAGTCCTTCTTAAACAGCTGATAGTTAGTCCGCTAGTTCCCAATACATCACATATTATCGCCAGCACATGAACTCAGTACAAGGACGTGGGGGTCTGAGTTCAGAATGTGGTTCTCTTTTCCTCACAAGTGAATGTGCCCGATTCCAGGCCCCCAACGTACGTACCTCATTCATCTTCGTCGTAACTATCGTACTGTGCTCTCACTGGTTAAAAACAGAAGTTCCACTGTAGGGTGCTTCATTTAAAATACGGATTTCTGTTTCACCCTAGCCAGACGAGTACAAATCAGGATGGTCGATAGGTCTGTGATATAAGGCGACCGATTACTCATACCTGTGTGCTTGTATTATGTTTTTTCTGCAGTTGCATAATCTTTTACTTCAAAACTGGACGCTAGTAGTCGCTTAACTAGGCAAGAAACTACCTGTTTTTATGAACGAAAGTCAAAGCTTCTAGTATCTGTAGGATGGCGTCTTGCAGTGTACCGAAATTCCAATGCGTTCTTCGATAAACTGCGTTTTTATTTGACCTTACAGGTCATGGGCAGAGTAATTTATGCTTGTAAAATGCACTGATAAACGAACAGTAAATATGTTACTCTGAGCAGAAACAGAGCTAATTGACAGTTGATACAGAACTCCATGGGTCAGAGCACTTCTTGAGAAACTAATAGTCGCTCAGCTAGTCAAAAATTCCGCCTGTATTTTATGGAACTCGAAGGTTCATTATCGTGTTCACAAGAGCGCGTCAGTGGAGTTTTATGCAGCCCGACACGGTGTACGGCCCAGGATATTCAAAATGTCCTGATGACGATGCAGATACGAATTTAATAACGAATGATGGTGACAGAATTATAGACCACGGTGTGGAATAATATTACTTAGATGGGGAACTGGACTCACGCTTCGAAAATCGTCAATGAGGCGTAACTTTGAGGACAAGTTCAAAGACTTCAGATCCTGCGAAGAAGACATCTTTATTTGCATCTCTGTTCTCTTTTGATGTAGAGAGAACTGCTGTTCATCTTCGAATGGAACTCACCGAACTTCAATAAGGCTGTGTTAAAGAAAGTGTGCAGTAAATTTGGAATTCCTGAATTTTATACAAACTAACCCACACATGTTTGGTAGCTGAAACGTTTGTTAACTTTTCTCGGTCATGTCAGTCTATGACTCGAATGTAAGGTTAGGTGATTGACACGTTATCTGAACTTAAAATTTGATCAGTACAAAATTAGATAGCAAATATTAACAAGCGGTGTCAGGCATCGTACACCACGATCGCGCAGAAATGTACCATGCCACTTATATATTTAAATTTGATAATTTAACCGCAGTCTTCAAAAGCGTTCATCAACATATTTTCAATGCATTTAAAGTCATTTAATAACTACTAAGATTCAAATATATGTCATGGCTACCATTGTATCGCTGTTTTGTGTATATTCAAGTTGAGATAATTGGAAATGTGTTTCAGTGAAATTCACATATGTTCGTACTTGTGAGAAGGTAGAGAGAAACGAGCAAGTTAGGAATTAGTAAAAATAGCGATTATATGATTTTTCCCATCCATGTGATGGCCCCGAGGAAGAGTCTGCTATTATATTAAGTTGCACTTGGTCGTACCAAAGATTCTAAGCCCGAGACCCTTTCTAACATTTCGTAGCGTCCTATTTCTGCGGTAACGCGTTATTACTCCCAAACTGGGCTACCACCCCTTGTCATCTGTCCGGTCCTGCTTAACTACTGCTGTAGCTATCCCCCATATCTGGAGGACGTTTCCTCCATTAGCAGCCTGAACACACGCAATTCAATGGTGATAAGTGATTCACTTAGTATGGGAGACGTGCATAAATGTACCAAAAATGTACAAAATTATATTCTCTTTATATTTCGTTAAGTAAGTTATATACCATATTTCACAAGTTAAAAATAAAAAGTTACAGATCTTATTGAGGCACTTTATGTATCATGTACGAATGTTTTGTACCATGAGGTATTTTTAGAAACATTATAAAATAATGGCTATAGTTGACCGACATGAGCCGAAATTAAATATGATCTACAACTGTTAGTGTAGCTTTCCATTAAAAAAACTACCGAATGTTGTTGAATTTGTAAGATAAAGTAAATATGACTTCTCCTTTATGCATTCAGTTAATAAACATCGTGAAAAATAAAACTTTACATAAGTACAGTAAACGATGTAGCGTACCGTGTAAGTGTACGAGTATTTACATGTAAGATAAGTGATGCAGAATAATATATCACTTACGTGTAGCAGCTCTTGGTTGTCCTGTCCGCTCATGATCACTTCCGCGAATGCACTGACTATAATAATCTTATATTGGCCGCAGGACACAGTTCAAACGTGCAGCATACCCTCGCTGAAGACGGCAGTCTGTGGCAGGCATGTCAAACTCGTCTGTTTAGGAACGCTTAACAAGAAGTGTCTTCCATCACATGGGCGAGGAAAATCATAACAATTTTTTTTTTCCATTCCAAGCTGAAGTTTGACAAACCCGCACTTTCGGATATCTTGAGCCAGTTGAATCTAGTCCACATTTTCACACCTTGTTCCTTTGAGATCCATTTTTATTGTCATTCTTTGTACGCATTAATCTTTCAATTTGTCTCTTATCCTACCACGGTCATGTCAGGGAAACCTTAGGGGTAGGACTCATTTTACGCCGGTGTTGGGTTCCTGAGATTTCCGGCATAAAATGAAGCAAAAATATAATGGGAACATATGTAAATACATTAGGTTCCGTTCCAAGATTTTCAGTAATCAACACAAAATACTTGAAGAATGTTTTATTTTGTGAAATTTACGTATTGAAAATTGTATAATGTTTAAGATAACAATGTTTAAGAAAAAGAAATAAAATTTGCTGCTTTAAAAACGATAGATTGGATGTCTGTTTGGTTTTCTTCTTTTCTGATAATAAGTTATAGTATGGCTGTAGAACTGTATCAATTCCTCAATTAATGTAATTTGCTTTTTCTCGTCGCATTTTATATTCCCTTTTTTGTTTAATTATTTAAATTTTGGGCCGTAGTTTATAATTTAGTATTATAGTTTTATTACAACGTCGGGGCCATCTGTGTCTAGGAAGTTGGGCAGAGTCATGACTCATCACCCCCTCCAATCGTGATCTATGAGAGGCACAAATGTGAAGCGGACGTAAATTGAAGCCGCGTAAACCGAGTCCTACCTGTATTTTGTTTGCCGGACTGCTGGCTGGTAGTCAGTGTGCATCTGCAAGGTCCCCCGACCAGCTGTCTCGACACAAGTTTTCGTGGTTATCATACAGCCGTCCCACTAAACACTGGCACAGAAAACGTCTGGTATACGTGTTGCTCTTTGTTCTGTTTCGATGAGGAACTAGTTTTAATAACTGGACCAAGCCCTTATGCCCTGAAGAAATGTATTTCAGGAAGAGCAGAAGTTAAAAGACGACAATGTTGGACTCGAATCTGAAGAGATAGGAGGAGAATATAAAATTCAGGGGGTGTGAAGAGGCACGTTTGTTAATGGGGCAGTGGCTTTTAAACAGTATTTAAAAATACGCTCCCTATCTAGCCGAAAACATACTTATTTCCGTTGCAAGGGTCGAACGGTTATTGTTCATGGAAACAATAGGTATTCGTTCTCTAAACCAAACGTAACACACTTTCTGAGTCTATGACGTAGAATAAGGTGTTATTGAACAGGTGGTGCAGTCTTGATGATGATGGCAGAGAGCGAGTTAGCAGTGCCTCTGTAAACGCAGTCGGTACAACTTCTGTTGGAAGTAACCGTTTACGCCGCTAGATGGAGCAGCAGTCTCGCCATGTTATCGGGATTCGTGAACGTGAATGTATTGTTCACAGTGCGTGTTAGTGTCATAGTGGGAGGTGGAAAACACTGTTTTGTAATGGTGAATGTAGTGGATGGAAATACAATACGCATTATCCGTACAAAGGTATGTTGTGTCACATTGTGACGTAAAAGCTGGCAGAATTAAATGATCGGTGGTACCGAAACATTAAAAAAAACCGTATTAGCTGTTTGTTTTGAATTTTCATGTTGTAAAATTGGAGTGAATAATTAACTTTTTCAAGTATTGATATGGCCCAGTCAGTAAACATCCTTGCCTGGATTTGTGTTTCCGGATTTCTGTTTCCGATAAGAGAATAGTCACTTATTTTTACCGTAACGCTCTGTGGTCCCACGCAGCTTTCGTTTTCGGAGGAAACCACAACCTATTTTATTTTCCTAGGGGTAAAGCCGGCTCTAATTCGAATTTCGACCCGACGATGGAGTTTTTTTTTCTTAATATCCCTTAGTCCCTGCAGAAACAAGTTTAATGTGGTGCCTTGAAGATCACGGCCACTTTCTTAACATCTTTTTAAATCAAATTGTAGTTATCCATTCGTTTGAGGCCATACAATCTTTGTAGATTCTAAAGAGTAGTTAAATATTTCGGATGGAGCATAAAATTGTCTATTACTCGCTTTTATTTATTGCTGATGTGGAGATTAAGCGCTCGTCCTCAGTACGTGTTCATGGCTTGGAGCTTAGGCACACATTGACAGACGTCCTGCAATTTCTGGTATAACCCCGGATTTGTGTTATGCTATTCGATATGTTGAGAAAAATGTTCGTAACGTCCAGCTGTCCAGAATGTAAATGTTAACAATTCTCAAAATAGTAACGGCTTAGAAATTTGTCACCTTTTAAGTAAAACTTTTGCTAACATTTCCAGAGCGTTACTGGCAAATCATTTCTTGGCTGTAGATAACTATAGCAAACCGTCGATTTGACGGACTAATGGGGAGGGGTGTCTGGTAATGCCGATTGTCCATTAAATTTCACAACTGGACACCTATAATGACACAAGGTTCATTAAAGCATTACTATGTAATGAGATAATTAAGCGTAAAAAGTCTTTAGCGGACATTTTTGGTTTTCACGAACTTTGTCTCGCGTCCATAAAAAAAACTGGAAACTCCTTAAATCCGAAATACGTAAAATCTTTATACGTTAAATCAAAGGTTTACTGTATAGGTTAAGTGCCAAAAGAAGACTCATCGCGTTTGTAAATAGGTTCATTGAAGTAGCTGGTTGTTTGCTTAGTAGCTAGTTGATCAATTAATTAGTTGCTTCTGTATTAATTAATTAGTTAATGTTGAAAGTGTTTTTAATCATTGTTCATGTTTGTTGCCTCACGATCCATTCGGTGCAATAATCTGAACTGCAGATGTTCAGGAAGGGAAGTGTTCTGACAATTTCGTTTTACAACTTGCGGTCACTGCCAGAACATACCAGCAGGATGGCAAATCCGGATTGTCGGACCGGACCAAAGCCATCATAAGGCTTAAAATATATGCATGTGCCCCGTGTGTCATCTTTTCAGGGGGACAGTCCTATTTGCCTGCATAGAAACCTGAAACAATAAACAAAGATGGAAGAAACAAGTTCCTTTCTTAGCCCGTGACTAAGCTAAGTGGTAAGGAAAGCTTATCAACAAAACAACTTCACGAAGTGCACATGTTCCTTCGTATCACGTTGTGACATTACGTGTCCTGTCCCTGTAGGCTGATTGCCAAAAGGTCATTTGTATCGTAAATTAACTACTCCGTGCTGAATGTTCCTTCTTGTGGAAGCGATAGTACCTCGGTTGGTAAGAACTCTTGCTGCAACTCGAAGGCTCAATACCGTGTTCACATGAGACTGCCCATCTCTTTAAGATTCATTTTAATATTATCCTCTCTTCTGCAGATAAGTATCCCGAGTGGCCCCCTTCGATTTTTCGATAAAACGGTGGTGCAACATATCGATTCTATCTCACCATAACTTGGTTGATTCAGTCGCCCAAAAATGTTTCATGAAAGCACCAACAGTGAAACTCCCGAGAATATAATTTTATTCAGTCTCCTGTTTGTTGCTGTTTCTAAGGTCAGAAATTTGTGTTTTTCCCTCGCGGTGAGTGGCCAAAGAAATGCTTGACTAGTTTAAAGGATTATTATGTATTAGAAAAGAGAAATGACTGGAAAATAAATTGTTATCTACTTTTAAGTACTCTCTCAGCATTCCCTTTAAGGATAGAGGGAATTTAAACATTCAGGATAGTTTTCGCTCAATCACAAATTCAGACCGGGTTATTTCTCGTACAAGTGTGTTAATACTGAAAATATATTTAATGATACGAAAAATTGGACGCTCATTAAATAACAGAGCTCAGTCATCAAGCTGATACGCACTGTACCGCGTTGCTTGTGCCTACTACACGGCCAGTGTAGCAAGAGCAGTGTTTAATCCTGGGTATTTCCTGTTACACATTGTAAAGTGATACTAATGTTTGTAAATGGATTCTCACAAGCCATAAACTGGGGTGCGACACAAGGATTCGAGGAAGTTTTGAGAACCCTGGAACAGGCCCGACTGGGTGTGAAACAACTGAAGTGAGAAAGATTTCTATCCCAGAATTTCATATAAGCTCTGCCTCGCAAAGAAAACAAAAACCATGAGAGAACCTGATTGTAATTCTTTCTGCACATTACGTCGATGAAGCGATTTTATGCCAAATAAATAATTATGCTGAATGCATAAGTGAAGAAGTTTTCAAAAATCTGTCTTCGCTGTCGGTTCTTTCTCAGACCCGCTGAAAGCACACACTTTACATAATTTAAAGAATTAAAACAATCCATTCGAATTTTAAATAGTATGTATAACGTGTTATTTTTTGGTAAAACACCTAAAATTATATTTCATGAGACTATCGCAACAAATTTGTTTTACAGGCATCGGGGAGACGTTTTCTTTCAAATGCGTGGTCAAACATCCTTGTAGGTGTTTCCGCTCCCTCGCAATTTCACAGAATGAAAATGCATCTAATATCTTAATAAACTTTGGGACTGTAATGAAAAATTGATGTGTAGACGAACTGTCAACCTGACGATCAGCACACAACAGGATGCATCCTACAAAAATAGATAATACGTGCATTGGTATGCACATACTGTGGACGAAAATGACGATGGTTACGTTTTTTCGAGTCGCCCTGTACCGCGGGGAGCACCACATGGCACAGGTGTTAGTCATCGGTTGAATGATGAGCAGATCGATCGAGTACATGTACGCGTGTGGGGTGAGAGCAGCGTTGGCGTCATTAATTTCTCTTCCTCGTGTTTTTGTATTGCGATCGGTTTTTGACGAGTGTGTAACTTTAAGTAAAGTACCGGAAGAAGATGTGAAGTAACGAGATGGCGACCTGACGATTATGTCGGTGTCAATGAGGAGTTATTTCTGTTCTGCATGTTTATGTTATGAAACTTGATGTTAATTCAAGAAAGATGCAAATATGTTGTTGCAGATCTACTCACTTAATAGATATCAATCAAGTCAAAAGCGTTCCCAGGTGTCACCTACT